CGAGCCCAATGAAACCATACAGCTGGGAGTTTGGGCGCTGCAAGCCCTCAAGAAAATTTTGAAAATTTGTCCAATAACAGGGGAAATTTGAGGTCATATGAAATGGTTAAGAGAAGTATATTCTAAGGCCAACATTAGGTACGTCAACTCATTGGCTTATGATAATATCGCTAAAATAACCTTATTTTTATAACACAATAAAAAAAAAAATCAGTTTTGTTGAAAAGTTCACTCATTTAAAAAAGTTGCCTCAGGGGCCCCTCTGGGATTAGGGGTCTTGAAGATTAAGTTTCATTAATTTTATAGTAGATCCAACACTGCGTGTGCCCAAGTAGATAGAATGTTAACATTCTATGAGACTCAGGTTGAACATCATAATTGTTGATTTGTCAAGGAGGTAGCATCTTCATAACGTCATCAGGGAAAACGATCGCAGCTTAAGACACTGTTGGGAAGTGACTGAATAAAAGCCATACCACAGGTTGACATAAACCTATAAAAAATATATGTTATCTCCTTTTGGTAGATAACTCATGTCGATAATAAGTCGGGCCCATTCATCTGATAATAATGGGTATGGCCTAAAATTAGGCGCCAAAGTAAAGGTTATAGGATACAAATCCTATATTCCAACAAATGACTAAAAAAACACAAAGTAGATTTGCACACCCGCAAAATCGGATCAAAACGACCAAAAACAGATTTCACAATAAGGTGTGAAATTAATTTTCTGACCAATGAAAGGAGGCGATTTGCTAAACAAAAAAAAAAAAGATAACGAGCCAGTGTGAAAAAAAAAGTCAACAATAAATACAGAGTTTTCAAGTCAGTCGCCAGTCAGTCAGAAGGGCGCAAAGATCACAGAAGATTGACAGTAAATTTCATCACTGACTCAACCCGACACAAAGAGCCGAAAGTGGAGTAGGAAAGAACAACAACAACAAATTTATAACTGACCCCAAAACAATTCATAAGTATATTTTCCTTTTATCTTTATTTCTCATCCACACTCTCTTTTTCAACTTAAATTGCTCGCCCCTTTTTCATTTGCAACTATACAAAAACAAAAGAAACAAACATTACTCTGCTACTCTGTTAAAAGACAGCGAACACAGACATTTTTATCAAAATCACATTTTTGCTTAAACGAACTAAAACATTAATCTTTTTTACCCTATTCACAAGATAATAAATGTTCTATTTTCTATAAACGTTCCTTATCGTGTTGTTCATTCTTGAAATTTGCGTTGTATTTTGTGGGCAGGGTATCCCGTATTAAATTCTCCTTTAATCCGGGTACGCTGAACCCCCACAAGGTCGAGGCGACCATGAACGGGACAGACGCTTTTTCAGCTTACTCGAAGAACAGGCGATGTTATCCACGAGCAAACCTGAATGATACAAGGACAAAGTAGCTATCGGAAGAAGATACCACAGCACAGACAAGAGTTTCATCTATTTCAAACAGACACATGTTTTTGGATATTGTCCCCGATGCCATGACTTTTAACTACTAAAAGAATACGTTTTTGGCGATCCTCTATTTTCATAATGTATTTCTTATATAAAGTATGTTTTGAAACTGTTCAATTGTCTCATCTTTGTTCATCAAGCAACGACTCAATTTGGGGAGACGTTAAATTTCCCACAAACCTTCTGAGTTGCTAGGAAATTTGTCCCGGCTTTCCCGCATGAAAGGGTTGAGGTTTAAAAATTTGCGAAAAAACGCGAGTAAAACAGCAAGATTAGAGCAGACAAACTCTTTTTAGGTGCGTACGAATAAAGAAAAAACTCCTGCTCGGTGAGTAACAATAAAAGAAGAAAGTGTTTATTTCAACATATACAGAAAAAAAAGGTAAAAGGATAAAAGGATGATTAGTAGAGAAAGAAAGGGAAAAGAGAAAATGTTCTTAAGTTAAAAAGGCTTGCTCAAAATATTTTTCTGAGCGCCTAAAGAGTTCTTTAAGCGATTAGATATTATTGTTAATGTTCAGATAGATACACTCACAGTTCTTGTAGAGTTGGAAATTCGTTCGCAGATAAAGGAATCCTGCAATTCGAGTGAGTTTGTAGTGGGCTCGTCAGAAGTAGTGGTGAAGGGATGCAGCTTTTTGGATTGGTCTTGAATAGTGGACCGACGTTTGTTTTTGACAGCCCTTTTTAGTAGTTCTTCTTTGGTGAAAGAGGTGCTGGAGTTTCCTAATGTCAACCTCACAGACAGTGGGCAGAAATCTCACTGTTGAAATAGGCAAGATTCTCCAAATTTATGGAGTTTTGGGACGCTCCGATGGATCGGGGACTTTTCCCTCCAAAATCGTTGTACAAATTTCCTGGCCCCTCTATTGGTCAGAAAACACATTATCTCTGATAATAACCAGGGCCCTGGGAGCCGGTTTCGAAGGTACTGAAGACAAGTTGAAGTGAAGAAGCTGTGAGGTTTCTCCCAGATTTTATGGCACCATGGAAAGTATAATGGTGGTGGAATTCCTTTTTATTTTCCAGAATGTGAAATTGTTGTTCTCAAATTAAATTCCAACAGAGTGCAATTAGGTAAAAACGAAACTGTTGTGATTGTTGCGCTTGCATGTAGTTACAATTCACTCCTAGAATAAACAATATAAACTTGCCTACTTAGTGATCATCTTCCAGAAACATATATGGTGGTTAATCGTGAAGCTCTTCGTAACTGAGCGGTTCAAAGCGTACCGGATAAGACGGTGGTTTTTCCCTGCAAAGGGGAACGCAGGGTCGAATCTTGATAGAGGGTACATTCATATTAATTATGTTTTCTCGAGTGTGCAGACCTGTAGACAAAATAAATACTGTTTAAAATAAAACGGAGCGTCTACTCAAATGCAAGTACCCATTAAAAATAACTTTTGTCTTGACTTGAAGTAATAAAAACATATTATTTAAAAAATCCATTAATTCTTTTAAGATTAATTTTTTACAATTCTTTAGATTAATTCCTTAGTTCGAATTTTGATTAAATTTATATAAGATTTATTTAGATTAATTATTTAGATTAAACTTAGATTATTTTGTGCTTTTGGTGAATTATATTTCCGTGTAAAACGAGTTTGTTTACAGGAAAACATTTCGCAGAGAATAGTTTTTAGTAAAACACCGTACTTTTTCAGCGCTTCTCTGTGGACGTGACGAGGAGTGAGAGAAATTTTGGTAATTCGGCTTCTCTGCTATTCATTTAACTTTTATTTCTTTTTCTTGTTAATTAGAGGATATGCTTTATTCATAAACAGGGTCAGTATTTAAGAGTAAGAAGACATTAGCTTATTTCCATTTTTTTATCTAAATCTTTGCTTGTGCAAGAGAGCAAGACTGTTTTTTTGTTGAGTGATAAAATTAAAAGACAAGCAAATTTTAACTCAGATATTGACAGTAAGCAGATTAAATAAAATGACAGAGTGTTTCTGTGACTGGAATAATTTTGCCAGATAATATTTTAATGCATGTGATAGAAAAAGATTGTCATCAGATTTTTATCGAATTTCAACGGTATGTAAATTTCATCGTCAGGGTCAACAAATCTTCTGAATCTTGATCACATCTTGTCTGATTTCAGTTTGACAATATTATGATCACATTCATCCCAACCACACAGGTTACCGCTTAGGGGGAAGAGTGTGAAACAATCTTCGACTTCCATAAGAAAAAAGGACTTGCCACTTTCTGTTTCATTCATAAAATTGCTCGAATAACCATAATATTCATTTAAGAGTTGTTCATTTGGATTAGTTGATTTTTTTTCTTTTTTGTATGAAAATCTCTTTTTCTTAAGTATTTACACGTGCTTACAATTTATTTTTTCCTTTCATCATTGAGGACTGCGCCGTCGGCGAAGGTCCATAACTAGAACATCATTTGCCCCTCACTTCCCATAATGTGCAAATTCTTAGTTGTGCGCATCAGACTCAAACAAAACAAAACATTGGTAACAGGCCTCATTGAGGGAGTTAGTAATGTAAGTGTTATGCTAAACTGGACATTTTATATCTGTTTTTGAGGATGAAACTCAGTACATTGGCTTGTAAAACGTGTTTACTGACGATTTCCCTGACAGACACTTTTACAAACATAACCTAGTGTCAGTGTATTATCTTCAATTTGCTTGAACACTTTAGCAATGAGAAGAAATTATTCTTTCCATTAACTCTGAATGATGAGAATCTCTGTCATTTCATTTCAATAGCTTAACTACAAGAGACAATTTCTCCCACCTTGTGGTATCTTGGCTACACCCTCACCATGCTAGTCTTGCTTCTGTGGTCTCCATATAAAGTAGGCTTTTTATGGGCTGGTGACACTAGCCCCATTTGCAACCAGTTTTGAATTCAGAGTTATTCTCATAGACAGGATGTCAACTGAGAAATGGATTCATACAATTCCAAAATATATTTGTGTAATGTGACTTTGGCCATAATGGGAACTTGGCATGTTGATCCTAATTTCCATACTATGGGAGTTTCCAATAACTACAAATGATAGAAATATCTTCCAATAACTACAAATGATAAAAATATCTTCCAATAACTACAAATAATAGAAATATCTACCACAGTTATTATTGTTAAAGCTATAAATTACTAAGCTTTAATATGGTGAAAAAATGTAAACAATGAGAAGTGTATATTGAAGTGCTCAGTTACTTTCTGCTGAGTCAGTACCAAGTACCTGTAATTCCTGAGAATTCTAATTTCCAATGTCTTTAGCTTGTTTTTCTTATATTTTGCATCTTTTCTCTCTGTTCACTTTGCAGCAACAGCTTCTTCAAATATTTTCTTGTGAAATTTAAAATTTTTCTCAAACTCTTTCTTGACATTCTTCAAGCCAGTTTTTTTTTTGTACTTGCCAATGTTTTCAATTATTTTTTTTATTGTCCTATGATATGTCTGACTGATTTAGAATTTCCAATATTATGTGTCCATCACTCAACATCAGTATCTTGCTTCTCTTTTGAGGTTATATCTTTCATATGGGGCTTACAGCCATATCACATTGAAACACCAGTTCTCATATGATCACTGAAGTTAAGCAACGTCGAGCCTGGTCAGTACCTGGATGGATGACTGCTTGAAAACACCAGGTGATGTAAGCTTGGATATGCAGGTGGTGTAATGGCTAATGGCTCGGAATTGGAAATCAGAGAGTCGAGTTCACATTCCAGGCGGGTTCCTTATATTATATGCAAATACCCTTGGGAAACGTATGAATCTATCTTTTCTTTCCCAGTCAATTGCTAAGACTTGTATAAGTATTATCACAAAAAAATTTTTGTAATCTCAAAATATTTTCTGGCTTTAAATAATCTGGAAAAGGTTGATAAGCCATGAAAAACAAATCAATCAATATTTTTCATATGATTCAAGACAGTCTTTGTATATTCAAAAACAAATATCAATACATATACTATTTATTTAAAATATGAATAATCTTTGAATTGCCTAATATAATCTCACACTAGCAAATAATTATTTTAAATATACAGACAAAATATAAAATTACTATAACATGAAGGATGATTCCAGTTTTGACCTGGGTATAGCAAGTGTATGCCGGAGAATAGTAGACATTTTGATGAAATTTTTAGTCTCTGGCTATCTTGTGATTCAGTAGTATTCAGACCAGTGCTCTGTTTGTGTTTGTGATTTAGAAGGTGTTACAAGCTACAATAAAGTTTGATGCAGTGAAAAGTTCAGTGAAAGTAGTATGCTTGTACAACAGAGCTAAGTGGATATTTGTGGTATTTTAGCACCACATGTGATTTTCAGCCAATTACAGAACTGTATTGATATTTTTTGTAATTAAGAAGATTAAAACAAAACTTTTCACATTTGTTATTAAAAAAATTGGAGTTTAGGAAGACAGGCCAAAATTATGTAAAAACCTTAAATTTTACATTTGTCCCATTTAGACTTCTTTTGCAGGAGATTTTCAATACCAATAATGGATTCAGCACTTAAAAAACTTAAGAATAGTGTTCTAGATCATGATTTTCTGATAAATACAATGCAAGTTATGTTGAAAATTGATATTTGGTGACAGGTATATTGTGCCAAAAGCAGGTATTAATCAATTTAGTGTATGAAAGGAACTGAGTATGTTTTAAATATCTCCTGAGAATAGTTTTATTAAATTCTACAGATTCAAATTGTTTTAGTATTTGGGGACTTATACTAAAAAAGAGGAAAAATTTTGGTGTGGACATTTTTTGTTAGCATTATTTGAAGTTGGGGTTTAGAGACATAACAGAAGGCAAAATATGTCAAAAAATCATGTTGGCTGAATTTTGTAGTGTAGGGCCCCAAAATCCATTTTATATGGGTAATTTTGAAAAAGAGTGTCAAATCAAACCTGTCAATTATAATGTTCATCTTAACAAGATTCCACTAACTTGCTAGCAAAAAGAGGCAAAAAAAGCTACTATCCATATAAAAGCAAATCTATATATTTGTGTGTAGGTTTTATATATATTTATATATAGATAAATAGATGATTTTGTTTTTGTGTTGACATTATAAGTAAAGTTTGGGTGAGAATCTGACAGAATGGTAAATATATAAATGGAAAACATGAAAGCAACCCTACATTTTTCTATTTAGCATTCCATCAGATACTCATCCAAACTTTACATATACTGTCAATATGGGAAAAACAATATTTTCCATGTCAGCAGATTCTCACCCAATGTTATATATATATGGTATCAAATGACAATTGGAAAAAAATCATACATTTTGCTGACGCGTTTAGTCTTCCGACTTTTTTCAAGGCAAAAATGAAATCGAAATGTTTTTTGTTGTTATAGTTACATTAAAATTAAAAATTAAAAGATAGACGCTTGTGTCTAAGCCTTTTTTCTGGTTAATGTAAATTACCTTTATAGTAAGGGATTATTATTATTATTAATTGTCATTTGATACCAATCTGTCTTGTCCACAGAATTCATCTAGGAATTTAACTATATTGTCGATATGGAAAAAAAAAAAATAAAAAAAAATATTAATAATAATAATAATAATAATCCCTTACTATAAAGGTAATTTACATTAACCAGAAAAAAGGCTTAGACACAAGCATCTATCTTTTAATTTTGAATTTTAATGTAACTATAACAACAAAAATTTTTCGATTTCATTTTTTTGCCTTGAAAAAAAAAGCAAACACGTCGGCAAAATGTAAGATTTTTTCCAATTGTCATTTGATACCAATCTGTCTTGTCCACAGAATTCATTTGGGAATTTAACTATATATATATATATATATATATATATATATATATATATATATAGAGAGAGAGAGAGATGCACTTATCACTAGATTTTACAAAATCTTAGATTATATTTTGATTCCAACATTCTTTTTTTTACATAGCAAAAATTGTAATTTGTTATATTTAGTTTGATTCAAAATTTTTTTCATATTTGTTTTAATTTCAGAGAGCAGGAATTCTTGTCATCTGTTTCAGGAGAATTCTCAGACTGCAACATTTGGAACAACAAGTTCTCCCTTGAAAATTCTCAATTTGAATTTTACAGATATGCAGTTTTCCTGTGGTGTTTGTGGGGAATCATTTGATGAAAAACTCCTTTTAACTAATCATCAGAAAACACATATCAATATTGTACAGTGCAAAGTGTGTTTGAAATCTTTCTCTCATAATGGTACTTTGAAAGCCCATATGAGAACACATAGTACAAAAACCATATTTCAATGTGAAGTGTGTGATAAATGTTTTACTCATAAATCTGACTTTAAAAAGCACACAAGAACTCACACTGGAGAGACACCTTTTCAGTGTGAAGTATGTGGCAGAGATTTCTCTATAAAATCTAACTTAAATATGCACATGAGGACACATACTGGAGAGACTCCTTTTCAGTGTCAAGTGTGTGACAGATCTTTTCCTCGTAATTATGGGTTACAAATGCATATAAGAACACATACTGGTGAGACTCCTTTTCAATGTGAGATTTGTGATAAGTCTTTCTCTCAAGATACCCAACTAAAAAGGCATATGAAAACACATACTGGAGAGACTTCATTTAGTTGTGAAGTCTGTGGAAAAGCTTTCTCACGCAAGGACAATTTAAATACACATATGGCAACACATACTGGTAAGACACCTTTTAAATGCGAAGTTTGTCAGAAATCTTTTTCCCTCAACTGTAATTTAAAAAGGCATATGAAAATACATTCTCGTAAGACTCCTCTTTAATATTAAGTGAACAGCAAATCTTTCACATTGAAAGAGATTTATTTCTTTTATCTGTGAAATGTTTAAGGAAAGTTTCCTTGAGCAATAGCAGGTTTAAAAATGTCAACAGGAACATTGGAGAAAAGTGCTATATTTTTATGTATAATGATTATGTTTTTTTTTAATTTAAAACCAAAATGTAATATAAAAATTGTTTGTACTATTTACAAATAAAAAATATGAAAAAAAAAACTTCTGCACATGTTGTTTCTTTCCAATTAGTATTTGTGTGATCAAAACAAATAAAGGCCCAGTGTACATAGAACAAATAAAATGTGTGAGATTTTGCATGGGGAGAAAAATTTTGAATACAGCTGTCTTGACATATCACCTTGGTGAGAAAGACAAGAAGTGCTTGTTGGTTCTGATAAACAGGGTTGTTTATTCACTAGGTATTGTCTGGAGCTAAGTGACACTTGGAACATTTTCAGTGCTACTTTTTTCTCTCATGACACTAATGAACCAGATTTTCCCTTCAATTATAATTTTAATATTTAAAAATATTTAATAGTGTTATATATATATATTTAAAAATAAATATATTCATGGATTCACCTGGCACTTTCTGGAGTGAGGTAAGGGATACTTGGAACATTTTCAATGCTACTTCTTTCTTCTCTCTGACACACTAATGGACCAGATCTTCCCTTTGATCAGCAAGAACTCTGTGTCATTAATTTATGCATCAATTTTCTTTTCACTTTTTTCTGTCAATGTTCATATTTTTTTTTGATTTTTGTAACAATTACACAAAAAATGAGATAATTATAAAAAACAATTTATTGAGTAGACATAAATGCTTTTTTATTGTTAGGCTACTGACTTATTGATTTATATATTACATATACTGTAAAGGATGAAAGTACTTTCAAACTTGTTTTTTGTATTGTTACTGATTGAGCTCTCCAGATTATAAATATAAGAAAATAATTTTCTATATTTTAAGTTTTAATTTTCTATATTTTACGTTTTCTATGTCGATTCATTGTAAATTGATCAACCTAAATCAAATACCTTTTTATCATTAGGCTACAGCCTTATTAATTTATATGTTGCATATACTGTAAAGGTAGAAAATACTCTAAAAAAAAAACATTAATTTTTAAAAAGGAAATGTGCTTTGATTTTGTTACTATTTCAGTGTTTCTATCAGCATTAGAAAAATATTCACAAATTTATTTCATATAAAACTAACTTTAAAAACATGGCTTTTTCTACAGCAAAGTATCTTTCCAGCAAATAATCATTTTTCAAAATTTTATTTTTCATATTACTATCAATTAAACTCTCCAGAGGAAAAGTATAAAAAAACAATTTTCTAAATTTTGAGCAGGTGATTCAGTTTGCTATGTAAATTCATTGCTCTATGTAAGCTAAAAAAATAAAATAAAGTTAAGTAAGCAAAATTAAAATAATAATAATAAAGAGAAAAGGTAAGTAAAGATATTAGGGCAAGTCAAAAATAATTTGCTTTAGCTCATCAATTTTATTCTTGAAAAAATAAAGTACAATTATATTTTATTCAGTTATATATCCATCATTATTTGCATTGACTTGTCACATCAGGCAGTTCTTTGATATCTATTGAGTAAAATTCAAGAGGTTTTTCATGTGAAAAGTTTTCAGCTAACTCTTGAATCTAGTTTTAGTTTGCATTAAAGAAAGTTTTCCCATGAAGATTTTCCCAATGAAATTTAAAATTAATGATTATTATTTTTCAGACATAGACTAAAAATTTTCCTCCAGTCAAATTTTGTCGAATTTACCATTCCTTGAGAGAAGAATATTGAGATTGCCACATGTATAGGCTACTGTAATGTTATATTCCTTTTACTGAGG